TGTTGCTGTCTGCCCAGGTTGGACATCTGGGACAACCTCTGAAGTTGGCCGGGTGTTGGCCTTTGCAGTTGGCGCATTTTGCCTTCTGCTCTTTTGGCATCGTGCAGCTCCTTGTTTCGTGCTCTTCGCCGCACTTTACACATCGAGGTGCTTTGAAGCACGCCCTCTGTGCGTGGTGGTAGCCCTGACAGTTGAAACATTGAGTGGGCCCTGTTGCTTTTCTTAATTCCTCAATTTTGATTTTCATGTGCAACAGGTTGGTGATGCACTTTAGCTTCTCGACGTCCTCTCTCTCCACTGTCATGACAAACATCGGTAGACTTCTTTTATCTGATTTTCTAGAAATCATGTTTTTTACTGACAGGACGTTGATGTTGTGTTCCTCCAGTATTTCATCGTGGATGCCCTTTGGGCTTGTTGAAGAGGGTAGCCCTCTTAAAACCATCCTAGGTTTTATATCTTCCTCCAGTGGGAATGCAATCCATTGGATTTTGGTGTCCTCATTGAATTTCTCAATGATTTTCACCATTTTCCTGTAGTCTTCGGGGCTTTTGGCCTGGATGAGCGTTTCTCGGCCGCTTCTTGATAGTTTGTTATTCGTAATAACTTGCTCTTTTTGAGCGATGTTTAGGATGGCCCCGGTATAGTTGACGCTCTGTAATTTTATTACAGGCGGCTTTGGTACCCAAGTTTTCTTGGGTACTTCCTCGATGTCCATCTGAGTAGGAGTCGGAGAACGTCGGTCCACCTGTGCATCGTCAACCTGTGCCTCTTCTGCGGGTTTGTTGGAGGGAAGTGCAGGGAAATCTTCTCTCTTCTTTGTCTTCGGTGCCTCTTTGGGCTTTTCCTCATTTGGTTTTTTATTCTTTGCTACCTGGGTTTTTGGTATTGCGCCCGTAGCTTTCCTCTTGGTTGTGGCCTGGTTTTCCAGGGTTTCCTCTTTTTTCTTTTGCTCCTGTTTTTCCAGGGTTGCCTCTTTTGTTTTGTTTGATTCGAGACTTTCGAACTTCTTGTCCATGTGGTCCATGATTGTCTTTTGAGAGTTCAAGATGTGTTCTTGTAACTCATCAATTTTCTTCTTGAGAGTCTCTATCTCTTTGTCCTTCTCTTGGAGAAGTTTCCTCATTGATTGCAACTCGGACTTTTCGTCCTCGCTGCTTTTCTTTCTGGACCTCTTGATAGCTGCTTTTGGGCGTCGTCGTCGGTGGTTTCTTCTATGCGGCTTCCCTCCGCATGGACTTTTGTCCTCTTTTTCTTGTTCTTGGGGCGTTTGAATTCCCCTGTTGCATGGTCTTCCCAGTCATCTACTGGGAGCTCCTTGAAGATCTCGTAGTTTGTCGTCTCTCCGTCGGTGGCATCTAGGGACAACGCGGTGTAGATGTTACCGTGGAGTTTCCTCTCACGGCAACCATCGGGAGTAGAGGGGTTTGCCTTACGAGTCGGCGGAGACCGTAAACGGTCCATTGTGGGGGCGGGGCCTAATCAAAAAATTTGGAAGAAGGCTTTTTTGTTGTCCGTCTGACCCGTTGCCAGCACGGATTCTGGGTGCCACCCAGTGACCTAACGCGGTTGTTCACGCTCTAGGCAGAACTAGAGCGGAGATCCTCTTGCGTTTCTCAACTCTCTGACCCTGGGGCCGTGTCTGCCAGATATAGAATTCTAAAAAACTATATCCCACAGTGTCATCCCAACGGAGGCACAGAGAGTATCCCGACGGGCAAAGCCCGTATGCTTTTTCGCTTCCCTACGCCGCAATTTTGGCCTCCGCGAAGATCTGATTTAAAAAACAAATCTCCCCGGCTAACCTAGTTGCAACGTAAGGTTTTGCCTCTGTTTTTCAGGCCTAGGCGCTGTTAACGCCAAGTCACCGCTGCCGTGCTTACATTCACGGCTTGAACTAACAAGTTCAGCTCGGACTTGGTCGTTGCAGCTCCTCTGCGGTGTCGCTCTTCTCGCTGTGGCACGTCTGCACTGTTTGACTGCTGGAGTCGAACTTACTACAAAACTCAATCCGGAATTTTGGTAACAGTCCTCGTATTTTTCTTATAATATTTTTTATTTCTAAGTCCAATTTAAGGTGCCTGTCAATTAAAACTCCTAAATATTTTAGGGATTCTGCTTTAAATATTTGTTGTTTTTTATTTATTTTTAATGAATTAAAAGTTGGCTGAGAATGTTTATATATTGCAAAAGGTATATATTTAGTTTTTTCGTAATTTATTGTAACTTTGTTTATTTGCAACCATGTTTTTATAACTTTGAAGTCTTTTTCAACTATAGTTTTAAGATCTTCCCAATTATCGGCCTTATAAAAAATTGCGGTGTCATCAGCAAAGCTTATTATGTTTCCATCAGTTTTTAGTTTAAGCATGTCATTTACATGGAGTGTAAAGAGTAGAGGGCCTAAAACGGTCCCTTGCGGTACGCCATAATTAATTACTTGAGGATCATTTTCGACACTATCAATTTCTACAAATTGTTTTCTGTCTGTTAAGTAACTTTTTAGTAATGTCAAAACGCGTCCTCTCAGACGACCATACTTCTCAAGTTTCTTTAACAAGATCCCGTGAGATACCGTGTCAAACGCCTTAGAGAGATCGACAAATATGCATAAACTACGTTTATTATACTCAAAAGCTTCTGATATTTGTGATGTTAGTTTACAAATAGCATCTTGTGTAGATTTTCTTTCTCTAAAACCGTATTGACAATCCGATATTATACTAAACCTATCCAAAAAACTCACTAATCTATTTTTTAAAATGTTTTCAAATATTTTGGAAAAAACAGACAACAAAGATACTGGTCTGTAATTAATCACGTCTTCTTTATTTCCAGATCTGCCAATGCATTAGATGTGTTTGAAAGAAAAATATTACGTAGGATACTGCGCCCAATAAGTGAAAACAACAACTGGCGAATTAGGTATAGTACGTGGTACGCATGTACGCATGCATGAGAATAGAATCTCCAGAAAATTGCTAAATGGAAGAATACAGGGAAAAAGACCTGTTGGAAGACCTAAAAAGAGATGGAAAGACGAAGTCGATGAGGATGCCAGGAACTGACTAGGAACGCTTTCATGGAAAAGAACAGTGGTAAATCGAAATGATGGGACAAGCTTGTTGAAGGAGGCTAAGGCCTGATTTGGGCTATAGTGCCATTGGATGGATGAATGGATTCAAGATATAATAAAATGTAAGGTAAAATAAGAAGAAAAAAACTTTCAAGGAAATGGTGAGTAAAGTCAAAAGAAACTTGAAATATGTGATATAATAAAAAGATAAGATAAAAATTAGAAATGGACTGATAACCCCATTTTTCTCAAACCAAAAGGGATTAAAAATAAACATAAAATATTCATTGTAATTATTACTTTCACGTATATTCTATATATTTATTCTGAAAATAAACTTATATCCACATGAGTTTGTTATTTTTTTACTTACTACGTTATTTACAATGCTATGGTCTAATTAAAGGTAAAATTGACTGAATGTAACTGGGATAATTACTTAAGCCAGTAATATATTACCATTGTGTTTCATTACGAACTGTCGCAGTAGTTTATTTATTGTTAAGGGGTATCCATGTATCATTAATTAATAAAATAACAATACCAACCCAAGCTCCTCTTATTTCTCTGGTCACATTGTATATCTAATAGTTGAGATAATAAAAAGAGAGCACTGGTGCATGCGTTTGCTTCCCACTCACGTAACATACACCCATAAATTATACCAACATCGAATGGTCATTAATGCATTGGGTGGCAATGCCTCTACCAGCAGTGTGGTCCTTTTTCCCTAAGAATGTAATGAAAATGGACATATTCGACTAACTTGTATTTGTTCAGGCGATATTTCCATAACAGTTGAAACCCCTTTGACTTGACTAATAAGGTATTCAGTGCCAGTTTAGTTTAATGTCGGTAAAATTTTTATACAGAGTGAATTGAGATCGTTAAGAATATTTTAGTTACCTACAGCCAACACCATCGCTTTGACAATGTTAAGTACCTTTCTATTTAGTTTATTTGTGTTTTTTTGCGAAAATACCCCGTACATAGGGCGTCTTAATACTGCAATCTGATTTAAGAATCAAAATATTATTATAGCTTATATATGTCTAATACGTTGATGCAGTATTAACACTTTTGAAATAGGTACTCAAATAAATATAATCGTATTTATAACGTTTGCAGAAACTATTTTCTTACTTAAATTATCGCATCTATCTGCGATCATTAAATTTATTAACAAAATGGAAAAAAAATTAGACATATACTGATTTTGACAATGTATAGACATAGCAGAAATAGTCAGATATTTAAGTACCTAAAAATACTTGATTTAATCAAGGTATTATAAGTTCTTGCTTTTGCTCCACATTCTGGTTCATTACAACCGTAAACCAAAAAACAAAAAACCGGATGAGTACAATGACATCCTTAACAGCTAAACCGCTAGCTTTTCGCACATATCTCTACTGTAATCCTTTTCTTTACTCCGGACAGGGGAGATTGGTTTTTGCGGTTTCCCAGTACCTATCCATCTCCATATCAGTTATCAATAATACAGATTTTGCTTGTTATCTTTTCATCTGGTAGCTTTTTTTATCCCCTATGCATATTATAAAAAATAGTTCGTAAGGTTTTATTTAACACTGTGGAAATGAGAGTAAGATTTTTAATCAAGAATAAATACTCCATCTGCTCCTATAAAAATTTCGCAGATGCCTCTAAGGAACACAATCATTATCTTTTTTCATCCCAAGCTTCTTTCTTCCTCTTACAAGAATTCAATAATTATAGGAGACTTTCAATCAAAGTTAGCGAGAGACAGTCAAATATGACTCTTCAGATTGTCGTGAGCACTTTCCACTAAAATATTCAAGGTTAAGATACTTCTGTAGTCGCGAGAGAGATTTTTCTTCATTTAGTCTTCAAGTTTTGGCGGAAAAGAGTTTCTGATTATCACAGGTTATTTATAATTTTTTAGGCAACTTAAACTTCCCAGCTCACAATAAAAGGAGCAACAATTTGAGAAAGATTAAAGTTTTGCAAACACAACTTAGTGATGATAGTGATGTTTCCTCTGCTGATACAAAGACTGACAGTTTGAAGTTTGAAGATGTCAAGTAGAAGAGTTTGCAAGTAAATTGGATGATAGTAAAATAGTCTTTTTATTCATGTATATTTCTTTAATTTTTAATAATTTACTTTCGAATTATTATTATCAAATAGTCACCTACTAACATAGGGATTTATTGATTAAAATTTTTTCGAAAATCTATTTGTACAATGGAATCTTTATATTAGATTAAATTAAACAATTTAATCAAAATAAATCTTTGTTACAAGTTTCTAAGTAACAAACATTCATTACAGAGTTGTAAATGTCTTCATAGTTGAGCTGTTTTTATAATTTCGTGGACTCTGCTCAAACAATTACAATCGAGCACTTTAATAAATTGACCCCACTGGAATGCCGGAAGGATAGGCATTTCTTTGGAAACTTTTTTGTTATTATTTTGGAGTTGCATCCCTTTGTTTAGTAATTCCTTAAAATATGTCATTCAGGTTCTCTTTATTTCGTCCATATCGCTAATTATATTTTGTATACATTTTTATAAATATTTTGTATAAGAATGCACGGAGGATAACCCATCCAGCACTTGGTTCCTCATTTTGTCCCAGTAGACGTGACGTGGAAAAAAGTTTTCTATTTTAATAATTCATATCGATGAAATATAATTCATAAATTTAGAAAAACAGAAAATTTTAATATTTTTTCGAGAATTATTTTTGATTTTTTGTGATGCTCACCTGGTAGGCAAAATTTTTCTTTGGTTTAGGTCCTACTAATAAACTGTCATCCGACATTACGGTGACAATACCAGGTGATGATACCTTTGAATCTAACCGTGAACGTAAAAAATAAAAAGAACTTTTTTCCTTTACTTTCTTTTGTGTCAGTACTTCAAAATTAATATCATTCAGAACCCAAGAAGCAGACTAGGATCTACTAAAACTAATTTATGGTTTTTTTAAAAAAACTGCAAAAAGTTACAGACTTACTAGCAGGGGAAAAGTAATTCAAGCTTCCCAGTGTAGTCATGTACATAAAATGTATTACACGACTACCTCAACAAAAAAAAAATAGAAATTCATACTGACCAAAACAATGACAAGGAATCCAATTTGAAAAACTCTTTTATAGCAACAAGAAAGAAGATTATCAAACACTATAACAAACAAAACAAAAAAGGAAGATTATTAATTACTACAATAAAACCAATTGGGTGTACTGCATTTTTCTGGTAATCGATCCCGCCACAAGTTTATCAGAATGGATCTGTTCCTTGAAACAAGAAACAGTCCCATTCTTTGATACAATAAAGAGACACCAAGCTCAGAGAAGTTGTATCTTCTTCTGGGTCCTTTAGTAAAAAGCACGATCTTAAAATTTTGTCACTGTACAAAAAAAGACTTTTGTTTTGTTGATAGACAAACGTTTGCCACCATAACCGCTAACCTCCATTGATGGAGACGGCACTTGAAGAAGAACAAAAAAAGAACAGAAAAGAGCTTATCCAGAGCTTGATTGACCATGATGTAACAAAGAAGCCAGCCCATCAAGGATTCAATGGCTGCGATTCGTAGTGTTCAGTCATAGATAAAAGATAAAATATTGTTTTATCCAATTAATTGGATAAAATAATTGGATATTAAAATATGTACTTTTTGTCCAAGTTTGGCGTGTGAGTCAATTATATATAGAGTATGTCTGTTCAATTCAGCACCATTCAAGTCGGCACCGAATGGGACTTTTTTATATTTAGATTTATGATTTTATGATGAAGTTAGTCTTTACAAAGTTCTGCATGTTCTAATACATTAAATATACTTAGTGAAATTAGAAGTGTTCACACCCAAAAGGAATAATTTCTTGAACTTTATTTTGTGGCAAAATGGGTAGATTTGCATCAAGAATGAAACTATAACGTTGACAAGGTTTTTCATTAACATGTAATTAAAAAAATAATAATGTGTTTGGAGACCCTGTAGCTGAATAGACTCCTGTACCCGTCTAGACATTGGCAAAATGAGATGATCGATGTTTGCTTGTGGCACCTCGTTCCAAGCAACTTGAAGTTTATGGATTAGCTGTGCCAGATTCTGTGGAGGATGGTGCAAAGTGAACAGTCTCCTTCCCTTCATATCCCACATATTCTCGAAAGGATTTAAATCCGGTGAACGGGGTGGCCACAGCAAAACCTTAATTCCAGCTTAATGGAGAAAGTCCATTGTTTGATGAGCAATATGGGGACGTGCGTTGTTTTGCTTAAAAGATGTCATCAATCTAACGCGCAGCTGTCATATCAACCTAGAATAAACATAAGTGGTGATCGGCTGCCATAGGCAATAGCCCTCCAACCATTACTCCATCTGTACTGTGTATATGCCTTTTAACAGCAAACCCGATATCTCGTCTCTAACAAAATTGCGATTTGTTCCAAAAGCTCTTCTACCCCAAACCATTGGACAACGATTTGCCGCGTAATAGCAAAACGGTCTCACAGAGCCAGTAGTTTAAAGCTCCTATTTTGAAGCCCTGTGCTACGCCTTGGTTGATCAGTTGGTCCACACACGACACACATGCATAACTGTCATTTCCGTATATTTAACACGACGGCCGATTTCAAAATGCAATAAACCCATATCTCTTTTTCTATACCCCTGTCAAAATCGCTAATATGGTGATATTTTTGGTGTCTTCGAACTCAAGGTAATTTTTTACACTAAATATAATTAGACTGGGGAATAATAACTTACTTTAAAGTTTTTAAAAAGTTTTTTTATAAAGGAAAAAATTTACTTTAAAGTTTTTTATAATCCTAGATTTGATGTAATGTTTTTTAAATCAAAATAAGTAATAAATAGGAAAGTTAATAATAATTCATTGACTCTCTGGTTTCTGTATTTTCTTACTTCTTTTGTAGTTCTAAAACAATTAGGCAATGAACAAGAATATTTATTATATTGTTATAATCGTAAATTTCTTAAGTCTACGGAAGAATATAAAAAATATACCTTGCATAATGACGACCACCGATTCGAATGCATATACAAGAGAACTTAAGTACACATGGTTAAACAAGGAAAACGCGAAATTAACCAAGTGTATCAGTTGCGTGGGAGCCATACACTAAAAGGCAGGTGTTCAATAAAGAATTTTTCAAGTACACAATAGAAATCGTAATATTGTTGCGTCATTAATACATAAATGCAAATCGATAAGTCATGTTACACAGCTACTGCTAGATGTCAAAATGAAACACACTTTCGATTGTGTTGTTACAAGTTTACGGGGGGCGCGCTCTTGGAATAATACTAGTAATTATACTTGCTAACTTATGGCACAAATAAGGCATCAATAACTAATAGATTTGACTATATCCCGCAAAAAATGATTCGAATAGACGATATCATTTTTCTAAATATTTCAACTTTTGTCCCCTAAGCTCATCATCATCTTCTCAAATGATTTAGGGCTTTTCATCGAATTTTTATTTGGCGTCCAAGATTCAACTTCACAGTATATGTGAGATAAAAGCCATCAAAAAAAAGTTACTGGGATTCTGGAGATGATATACGAAACACAGCGCCAATAACACTCTTCTTGAACCTAACGATAAACTGACAATACTTAGATCTCTTATAAATAAGATAAAAACTAACTTTCTAAGACATTATATTTCGGATCAAGAAATCGGCTATGATAAAAGCATTATAGAGTAGTTTGGAAAACACGGATGTAAGCAGTATATTCGAGGGAAACCCATCCGGTTTGGATATAAAGTCTGTTATCTTATTTCCATAAACGGTTATTTTATCAATTTTGAAGTTTTTCATAGAAATATGCCAAATTTTAATTGAGAGCATCGAAAAAAATTGTAGGTGACTTTAACGGTAGAGTAAGCCAAGAAGAAAACAGTGCAGTAGTAGGACGACATGGAGAACCTACAAGAAATAATAATGGCGAAAGGCTGATAGATCTGTGCGAACAATACAGTTTAAGAATCACAAACACCTTCTATGCACACAAAGATATACACAAATATACCTGGAAACACCGCTCTAGAGACCAGAAATCCATCATCGACTATATTATAATGAGACAAAAACCAACACTAACAGTTTTAGACGTTAGGGTAAAGAGAGGAGCTGACTGTGGAAGTGATCATTACCTAGTAATCGGAAATATGACCATACTGAGATTGGGAAAATACGAAACAGCAAATGTAAATAAGAACGTAACAACAAATAAAGAGCACTATAATCTACAAAGTCTAGAAGATAACAGCGTGCAGTATTTATACCAAAGAAGGTTAGATGGAAAACTGGTAATAGAAAATAGAACAATAGAAGAAGAATACAAGCACATAGTACACAGTATTAAAGAAGCAGCAGAAGAGGCAATAGGCACTCAAAGACGCGCAAAACAAAAACCATATTGGTGGGATGAGGGAATAGATGAAATGATAAAGAAGAAAAAAGAAGCATACCTAACATATCTAGATAAAAAAGACGACCCCTCTAAAGAAATATATAAAAACCTAAATAAACTGGTGAAGACGGAAGTAACAAAAAGGAAAAATAGATCTTGGGAAAAGAAATGCGAATACATAGAACAAATGATTGGAGAATCGAAAAGTTCAAAAGCCTGGAGAACGCTAAAATCTATGAAAACGTCAACCAACAATGAATTAGATTTAAGTAACATAACAGAAAAAGACTGGGTAGACTACTTTAAACAGTTACTACAAGAAGGACGACAAAATTTTCAATACGAAAATGCAAACAGAGACATACGATCAAATTCATTGAATTGAACATGACAAATATCGTAGAAGCGATAAGATCTTTTAAACTTAAATAAGCGCCAGGCCCAGGAAACATCTCACCAGAATTTATTAAATACGGCTCAGGTAAACTGTGGGAAATGCTCAAAGATCTGTTCCAACGATGCCTAAATGGAGAAGAGACCCCGTTAGAATGGCGTGAGGCCTATATAACCCCAATATACAAAAAAGGAGCACGAAACAATGTCAGAAACTATAGAGGAATTGCTGTCATCC